TGTGTGTGTGTGTGTGTGTGTGTGTGTGTGTGTGTGTGTGTGTGTGTGTTTATGTTACATTTTGTCCAGAATTCTTGTGGAGGTGGAAAATGGCTATTTGTCACCAAATTGGCCAAGTTGCTAGAAATTGCCACTGTTATTGCCTTTGTACATAATCTCTTTCATAGGAAATCTTTCTTCTGCCATATTTAGCTGATAAACTCTTGTCCATTCTGTCAGTTTCCGTTCAATTCTTTCTTTTTCTGTCAGATATCCTAAACTAGGAAGAATCAAGTGCTCTTTTTGTGCCAACCCCATCCTTTGTATACCTCCTACATTCTACTGTAGCAATAATATATATTCTCTTTTACATCCCCTCACTTAGCACAATTGAAACATAGTAGGTGCTAAAAACATTAGGTAAATTAAATTAATGAGTACACTCATGAAAATGTAAATTGTATTGCAAATTCATCTGAGCTTTTTGACAATGTTAAATTGATACATTACAATGTGCTATGTTGTTATTAATCTCAGACATAGTAGGTATATTTTTTTCCATTTAGTGGAGCATAAAACAAGCAAATGTGAGTTCATCTCAACTGTTTATTTAACATTCTTTCATCAAAGAATGAAAGGCAGTTAGACATTTTCTATGAAAACAGAAACACCAAAAGCAATCCATACCCCACATAATGAAAAAGATAAAAGTTATTTGAGGCCAAAACATAGTCTGAATATTAAGAATAAAAGGTCTGTATTGTGTAACAGACCTTTATGTCTGAGTGATTTTTAGGGAAAATATAGAGTCATTTAATGATGAGACAGAAAAGATTTCTCATAGCAATAAAGGGGGAAAATACTTGATTAAATAGGAGCTTATTCCATACAATCAATATTTTAGAGAATTAGACAGGAAAATGGTTTTTGCCTATGAAAAATGAGTTTTCCTGCATAATGCAATTGCTTTTAAGATTCACTTGTTCAAATGCAATATGCGATTTACACCCAGGGATATTTATAAAATATACATAAGTCATACCACATAATGAAATGGACAACTGGTAAAGCTACTATCAAACAATAAATTGATCATTATGGGTAAAATTATCAATCTTCTTATTTGCCCCACCTCATTCCATCCCCTTTTTCCTCACTACAGTAACTCATCCCCACCAAATTTAACCACTATTCTGCAATCTTCAATTATTCCTTTACTTTTATTTATTTCTTTGTTGGATCACATATACTTATATTCATCCTAACACATCTTCTCTTGCAGTACTCTGTAGGTTAAAGTTGAGTCACTATGGTTTGTTGTGGGAGAGAGCATAGTTCACTGGGGGTCATCTTTGGAGACCATCTACCACATTTGCTACTAGTTGCTAGGGTGAAAATGATTTTTCCCCATTTCTTTGGAGATATTATGTCACTCTTTATTGCTGTTCTGAATACAGTAGTGGATGTAATTTTCATAACTTTATGGATGATCTGCTTTATTTTGTCTGCTGCTTTCAAGATCTTTTCTTTGCACTCAGTGTTTTGCAGTTATGATGTATCTAGATACAAATTTTAAACTTTTTCTGAATACAATATATTATGCTTCCTGAGTAGGTGGATGTATGCCTTTTCACATTTCTGAAAAGTTATTATGTGCTTTCTAATCAAATACTGGCACTTCTCCATTGTATGTACTCTGTCCTTCAGAGTTTCCAAATAGATGTATATATGACCACTTCTTTTTAAATTCCATATGGCTTTATTTCCCTTATGTTTTCCATCTTGCTATTTCTATGTGCTATATTCTGTGCAATTGATTCACATTTCAGTTTGAAATGACAAAAATAATGCATACTGTAAAAATATACTTTTAATCTGTTTTGTTATTGTTTTAGATAATTATATTTTTTACTTCTTAAAGTTCTATTTTCCCAGCTACTTGGGAGGCTGAGGTGGGAGCCCAGGGGATCAAGGCTGTAGTGAGCCAAGATCATGCCACTGCACACCAGCCTGGGTGGCAGAGTAAGACCTTGTCTCAAAAAAAAAAAAAAAAAAAGAAAAGAAAAGAAAAAGAAAGTTCTACTTGGCTCTTATTTAAACCTCTCGAATTATCTTTATAGTTTATTT